TCCTCCTCCTCCTCCTCCTCCTCCTCCTCCTCCTCCTAGGGAAGATGCACTTAAGCTCCAGCTCTCCTTGGAGGTGACCTGCTTGTGGCGGTGGTGTCGCAGAGGTCCGACATGCGGGGCCCCCACACCCGAATAGCCTTTTAGGAAACGCACTGGCCTGGGTCAATGCAGATCCGGGTCAGTCGGGCTTTGCAAGATCCTGCAAGATCCTACACGATTCTTCGCGCTACCCTGGGTCAATGCAATCCTGGCTCTGCAAAATCCTGCAAGATCCGGCTCTCTGGCCGACCCTGTTTGTATTCGACCCCCGTCTCTTGAGCCCCGATCTCTTTCCGCCTTCCTGCGGCCCGTTGAGGGTCCCCAGAGGCCGAACACTATGACAAACCGACGCGTTGGTATTGCTCGAGTGCGTTGGCAGTCTGGGGTCGCCGATCATGGCGAATGTTGAAGGGGCCCTGGGACACACACACACACACACACACACACACACAAAAATAAATATACACAAATGACAGGATTCCCCATATGTTCCCTCATAATATGTGTTTTTGTCCCCCCCCCCACTTCCCATATTTTCCTATAGATTCTTGGGAATTGACGGTTACTTGTGTTTGTGTGTTTTTTCCCTCCTCAAATGTCTGGGGACCTCGAATGCGCAGGCCGGCGCCAAGCAGGCGACGGCCAGGACGACGGCGAGCCGCGAGGACATGCCGGAGCCGTCGCTGTCGGAGAGCAGCTGTATGGACTGGGCAGGGTGACTTGGGTCAGAATCGGCTGCGGTGGCAACGGCAATGCAGGAGGAGCAGGAGGGGGGGAGGAGGGGGGGGAGGAGGAGGACGATTTACCATCGGACGAGCAAGTCTGCCGTCACCGCGAGACGACCCCAAGAGAGCGGCAAACGCGCAAAACGCACTGGCCTCCAGGAAGACCGGGTTGCTGAACAGATGTGAACCTACGAAGGTGAGGGCCGAGAATCGGGTAGAACGGGGAGGTTGAAGCGTCTGGGGGGAAAGGGAGGTCAGGGAGGACAAGGGGAGGAGGAAGGCGGGGAGGAGGAGGAGGAGGAGGAGGAGGAAGAGGAGGAGGAAGAGGACGACAACAACGAAGAGGAAAGAGAGGAGAAGCAGGAGCAAGAGGAGGACGACGGAGGAGGGGGGACGAGGAGGAAGGAGCAGGAGGAGAACGGAGTACCAATAGAAACAGGAGGAAGAGGCAGCAGCAGGACGCGGAGGCGGAGGAGGGATAAAGGGGTACTTGATCGAGGAGGCAGGTGATGGTCAGAGGAGAAAGGAGAAAAGAGGAAGGAGAGGAGGGGAAGAAACGAGGAGGGGGAGGAGGAGGCCCCTGAGAAACTCACGACGAAGAGGCCCCTGAAGGGGCAGCGGGCGCACCCCAGGGAGGCCCGCGAGGGGAAACTCTCGCGAGGCCGAATTCGCGGGAAACCAGGCGCGACCAGGACACGTCGTCTGAGCAGGAGGAGGAGGTGCAAGCTTTGCCCTCGCCCGTCAAACGTCGGGGGGGGAGGTCACCGTCCTTTTTGTTGACCCTCTCGGGCCTCTGGAGGACCCCTCTGCTGCAAGGGACCTCTGGGGGTCAGGGCCCGAGGCGGCCCAGGGCGGGAGCAACACCTACCATGAGGAATTTAAGAGGAGGTCTCCAAGAGGAGGTCTCCGGAGGGATCCCCGTAAATTCACAGGGGTCATAAGGAAGTTTTGCTCCCGATCTTTACGAGGTCTCCTGAGGGAGACCTCCTACGGTTCGGGGGCAGGGGGCTCCTGAAGGCGGTATTGAAGCTCCTCGGGATGTGTCCTTTAAGTTCTGGCCCTCCGGAGTCTGAGGAATTTCAGCGGAGGTCGCTGCATGGAAATTCAGAAAGCTCCTGAGGCCTCCAGAAGCCCGCCCCCGCTGAGAAACGCAGAAAGGCGCTCTTAAACCCTACTGAGCCACCACAGAGGCCCAGCAAGGAGCAAAAGCGCCCACAAACCTCGATTCTCAACCTCACCACGTCCTTCTCCCCCTCCTCCTCTTCCTCCTCCTCCATCCCTTTCCCTCCAACAGACCTCCTCCCTGTCGCACTCCCAGACTTGTGGGTAGGGCGGGCCAGGCGTTCCGCCTGAAACTCCCTCACCATGATCTGGAAACTTGAAACTCGCAGCACGTTCATAGCTGGAGAGCGGGTGGCTCTTAAAAGGTGGCTCTCGCCTCTACGCCGCGCACACTCGTCCTATCAAAAGTTTGCATGAGCTTCACGGGTGAGGAGCGGGTGGCTTCGAACATGTGGCTCTCGCCACAGCGCCGTGCACATTCGTGTGAGAAACCCGCATCCGCTTCACGGATGGGGGATGGCTTCTGTTCAGAATGTGGCTCTCGCTTCAGCCCCGCGCACAAGTCGTTTGAGATGTTCACAACAGTTGCGGGGGGTCGCATGGACGACGTCTCCTCAGCTGTGTTGTGGCACGATTTGGGGCTGTCAGGACGCAACAGTCCCATAGTCTCGCGGAGCGCCAGAGTCCCAACAGTGGTGTCCTGGCGCGATTCAGAATGGCCAGGACGCAACAATCACGTTGATCCGCGGCGTTGCATTCTCTGGAAGGGTATTTTGGCAAAATTGAGGATTCTCACACGGCTTTCTGCTAAGTGGCCAGGTCCCACAATGAAAATGGGTCGTGAGGACCTATGAAAGGGGGAATGGGGGAATTTGGATGAAGGGAACATCGTTGGTGCGTCTTTGGGATTACACTGGTCCTCCACCTCCTCCTTCTCTTCTCGGGGTAGGATAGCAAAGGAGGGAGTTAGGGGTAGAGGCTCAGCTGCACACAGCTGGTCTTTCCAGCGCCAGGAGGCGCTAAGATCGACCATGTCACGAGACCAGCTGGGCGCGTCAGCTTTATGACGGCAAGTTCGTGTCGTGGCGACGTCGGCCTTGGTTGCTGCATCGCGTGATTCGTTCGACCTTGGAAAACAATCACGCTATCCAGCAGCGTGGATTGTTCGATGTCGGCCAATTCAGGGCACCAGCGGCGTTCAACCTTAAAAACCCGCGCTGCGGGCACTGCCACATCGACACGACACGAACCTACCACAATCGCCCCTTTCCCAACCCTCCCCCTCTCAATAAGGCAAGAAACTACAGGATAACACACCCACACACACACACGCACACTTTCGGCTGTCCACGCGGACTTTTGGGATCGGCGCAGGGAGGCGCCGCCAGTGGTGTCCAGCGCCATCCAAGAACTCCACGCGGACGTTCGAACGCTTACGTGTATGATGCTGTGTCTTCTTCTTCTTCTGCTTTGACTCCGCTTCCCCTGGAAGGTAGCATCAGGGAGACACAGGCCCGGGCCCATGCAGAACCCCCAGTCAGCTAGGTAGGCCTTGCAAGATTCTGCAAGATTTGGTGGTCCCCAAACGTGGTGGTGACAACACCCGGCGGTGAGTCTCGGGCAATTTGGTGTCACCACCCGATGTTGGGGACTCGTGTGTTTTTTCGAATATGTCCTTCACGCTGGTGGGCTCAGGAGTCACAAAACCCGGCGGTGACCCCGTGTTCCAAAACCTGGCGGTGACTCTTTGGGGATTCCAGGTCACCACCTGATATCTCACCACCTGCTTTGGGGGCTCCCAAAAGATCCTGCAGGAGCTTTCTCCTCCCTTCTGCCGGGCGCTCTCCCCCTCCTACTGGGCGCGCGGCCGCAGAGGCCGCCCAGGAGGAGGACGGGGGGGGGCAGGGGCCAAAGGGGGGGGGTAATTACGGGCCCCAGTCAGTTAGGCCTTGCAAGATCCTGCAAGATCCTGCAGGAGCCTTCTCCCCCCTTCTGCCAGGCGCTCTCTCCCATCTGCCGGGCGCGCGGCCGCAGAGGCCGCCCATGGAGGAGGACGGGGTGGGGTGGGCGCGGCAGGGGCCGGGGGAGGAGGAGAGAGAGCAGGCCCCCCTCCTCGAGGGGAGGCGCGCCCTCCTCGCACGGCTGGAGGCCTTCTCCAGATGGGGTCGGAGGGTCGCGCCGCATCGCCGATGCACTGCCGATGCATTGCTGATGTATCGGCGACGTCGGCGTGGAGAGAATCGGGCTCCACATCGAGCCGCATCGCCGAAGCATCGGCGATTCGGCGCGATCATCCGACCCTCAGCTGCTCCGACCCCACCTGGGAGGCCTCGCACGGACCATCCCCACTTTGGTCTCCCCCTCCTCTCCCCCCCCCTCGCCGGGCAGCAGGGCTTGCCCGGGAGCAGCGTCGCAGCGCGTACAGCCAGGCCAAGGCCAGAAGGGCATCCCTCAAGGGAGCGAGACCCACCGCCGGCCAAAACACACAGAGCATCCCAGGGTACCCCTCCCCACCCCGGGATGCACACGAGCATCCCACTAGCACGATGAAAGTCAGGGCAACCTCCCCGAAGCGACCTCGATATCATACCTCGGTCCAGCTGTAGAGGAACAGACATTGTAACAGCCTCCCCTCGTCAGCGTCTTTTCCTCTCCCCCCCCTCTGTGCAGTGACTCTCTCTCTCTCTCTCTCTCCCTCTCTCTCCCCGCTTCTTCTTCGTCTTCTTCAGCCGCCGCGCCGCCCGAGGCCGCACCTCGGAAGCAGCCCCGCGCGCGGGCAGAGCGCGGGGGTCGGTGCGCCTCCCCGCCCACCCCCGCCTTGCCCTCCTGCTCCTCCTCGTCCTCGTCCTGCTCCTCCTGATTATCCTCCTCCTCCTCCTCCTCCTCCTCCTCCTCCTTCTCCTCCTGCCACCTGATGCCCTCCTCCTCCTCCTCTCCGACCGGTAAGCTTTTGCTGGCCCAGTCGCGCCTCCTGCGCGGAGAGCCGTCGCAGGCCGAATCGCGTATTTTGCGAGCAGAGGAGCTCGAGACTTGCGCGCGGAGGCACGCCCTGCGGTGCCCACGGCAATGTTTCGCCCATGGCGAAGGTGGGGGCTGTCTGAATGCTCTGCGGAGGCCACCCCTCATCTGCGCTCTTTGATAACATACTCATGCTCTCCAGAATTGTCGTTCGTCCTCGCTCTGCCGTTTCGCCGTCGTCGCCAGTCTTCGCAGTCATCGTCGTCGGCGGCTGCCTTCCCCTCCTTCCTCGACCTGGCGCCCCTTCCGCGTGCGCGCGCGGGGCTGGCTTGGAATCTTAAGAGTCCGCTCCAGCATTCCGGCGTCCTGCTTGCTTCGTTGCGGCGGGCCCCGACCTCGCGGCGCCCACTGTGTTTGGCCCTGCGTTTGCGTCCGCATGTCCCAAGGCCTGGGAGCGGGCGCCTCCCCGAGGCCCAGTGGGAGAAGAAACTTGCTACCGACGCAATCACTACGTCGCCTCCTCATCCTCCTCTTCTTCCTCCTCCTCCTCCTCCTCCTCCTGCTCTTCCACCTGCTCCTCCTCGTCTTGCTATTGTTAAGTCGATCCTGGATGCTCTAACCTTCGATCCTGGATCCTCGATCCCTCCGACCTCGTTCCCAGACATCCGGCGCTTCGATTTTGTCAATGCGTGGGCGCCCCGACCTCCCGACCCTTGCCGGTTGGCAATGTGTGCATCCTGGGTCGCTGTTTGACGGCTCCGAGGCCTGATCCGGCACCAGCAAGCGGATCGAATGGAAAAGAGGTTCGCAGGCGGCCCTGCACGGATCTGCAATCCCGGGCACGCCGCTGATGGTGCACGGCAGGGGTGCGCCTCCCCGGGGGGGAGGGAAGCATCCGGTGTGAATCGCCGATAGGTCGTCGACTGATCGGCGATGCGCCCCCGATGCTTGTAGCGAGTCTGCACGGCGGCCCTGGGTGGGGCGGGCTATCGGGCCCCGATCGGCGATGAATAGGCCATTGGGGGTGGATGCGTGGCCCCTCCCCGAGCCCGTCCCGCTTTAGTGCTGCCCCGCAGTTGTCGGGTGATGTCTCGGCTCTCTGGCGGCCGTTCGGGACGATGCAGACAACGCCAGAACGCCCTCGGCGAGGCGCAACTGCTGGAGAGCACCCCGAGGCTGGCAAACCGCCAGGAACAACCGACGAAATGAGCCGAAATCTCAAACCTCGAATCCGCCCCTGACTTTGCCCTTGAGCCATTTCCCCCCTATACGTTGCCACTGACTCCCCCCTCCTCTGGGCCTCACATGGGGACTTCGGCGGCCAACTCTTGGGGCGACCTCGTGCCAGGAAACGTGTGAGGGGTGCGCCGAGGTGAATGTGGAGCCGCATGTGAACGTCGCCACTGGGGCCTGAGGTGAAGCCCCCTATGAGGCCACGAAGCGTGTGAGGGGTGCCGTCGAAATGAGTGCAGAGCCTTTTTCCTTGTCGCAGCGGCGAGTCCTCACCACGTTCGGGGGTCGAATCAAGCACAGCAGGCGAAGGGGGAGCAGAACCGAGCGGCAAAGGGGGGGGCATGTTCAGAGCGTGAAGTTCTGGAACGTGTTTTGCTGGAGCAGATGCGCAGCAAAGATGTGGAGGTCCTTGATGGTGCGGAGCCACATGCGGTGGTCGCCGCTGGGGCAGGGACCCCCCCCCCTGGAGCGCACATCGATCGGAGCGGGCGGGGCGCGGCTGCCCGCGGAAGCCTCCAGCACACAGAAAATAACCTGCGAAAGCCTGCCAACCAACTCCTGCTCCTCCTCCTCCTCCTCCTCCTCCTCCTCCTCCTCCTCCTCCTCCTCCTCCTCCTCCTCCTTCTCGTCATCCTCCTCCTCCACCGCCTCCTCCTCCTCCACCTCCTCCACCACCTCCTTCGACTCATCTACCTCCTCCTCCTCCTCCTCCTCCTCGTCCTCCTCCTCCTCCTCCTCCTCCTCCTCCTCCTCCCCATCTGCCCCTCCTCCTCCTCCTCCTCCTCCTCCTTCTCGTCATCCTCCTCCTCCTCCACCGCCTCCTCCTCCTCCTCCACCTCCTCACCACCTCCTTCGAGTCATTTACCTCCTCCTCCTCCTCCTCTCCTCCTCCTCCTTCCCCATCTGCCTCAACATCCTCCTCCTCCTCCTCCTCCTCCTCCTCCTCCTCCTCCTCCTCCTCCTTGTTGATCCTCCTGCGCCCCCATCCTTTAGACTTCAGATGGCGAGAAACACAGTAAACCAAACTGTTCCCCGTCGGGAGCGCCTGGGGCAAGCGTCCCCGACTGCGGAAGTGTGTATGCTACCTTCCTCTCGCTGAGTGGACAGCGGAACTCTCGGGCCGTCTCCTTGGTGGCTGCCGCACACGTGGGGGGGGGAACTCCCTCCAGAACTCGAGGAACATATGTTTTCTCTCGGTGCGTTGGAGGTACAGGCCCTCCCTCCTCACTCCTCCTCCCTCCTCCTTCCTCCCGGGGATCAGTCGGCATCGGATCGGAGCGCGCGTCGGATTGGGCTGCATCTGTACGTAGTCGAAATCGAATCGGATCGGCCGCGTCAGGATGCACGGAAACGCAATGCAAGCATCGGGCCGCATCGGATCGCAAAGACGTCGAAATCGGATCGGATCGAGCCAGGCGAGCTAGACATCGAACATAATCTATGGGATCGACATGGGCCATGCTCCCCCCCTCTCCTTGCTCAACCTTCCTCATGCATCGCCTTCCTCTCTCCCCCGCCCTCCTCCTCCTTCCTCCTCCTCCTCCTCCTCCCTCCTCCTCCTGCTCCTCCTCCTCCTCCTCCGTCCCTCCTCCTCCACCTCCTCCTCCTCCACCTCCGCATCCTCCTCCTCCTCCTCCTCCTCCCCCTCCTCCTCCTCCTCCTCCTCCCTCTCCATACTGAGACGGTCACCAGTGAAGCGTGGCCTACAACATGCAACACCTGGACGGATGGCCACACGCGAGCGCCTCTGTCCGGAACCACACGCAAGCCCACAGGAGAAGAGGAGAACGGCAGCACAGCGAAATAGCACAGGAAAGAGGCATGAGCGCTGGCAACGAAGCTGAGAGAAGACGAATCACATGTGAACGCTGGGGATGCCCACAGTGTCAGTCAATGCTGTGCATCCTTCCCCCCCTCTCCTGCTCCTCCTCCTCCCCTTCTCGTCTCCAATCCTGTCTCTGCCCTTCCTTCCCCCCCCTGCCACGTCCTACTCCCTCCCACATCCTCCCTCCCTTTCTCCATACCCCAGTCCTCATTCGTCCCACCTCCACCTCGTCATCCTCCTTCTCCTGCTCCTTCTCCTTCCATCCCCATCCCTCCCTCCCTCCCCATACTCCTCCCCAATCGTTCTCCCTCCATCCCTCTTCCGTATAAAGAATTCCCCCCCTCGCCTCGCCATTAGGCCTATTGGTAGGGCGGTCCAGGAGTTTCGCCTGAGACTTCATCGCAACTTCTGTTCCGAAACTTTCGCGCAATACCCAACACATACACGAATGGCGGGCACACCGTTTCCAAAATGCGATTCCCGCTCATCCCTCAACTTGCTCCAGAAAGGTTCCAACATGTGGAGAGTGCGATGTGAACAAGAGATGGCTCTCAGCCTTGGCGCCGCACGCATTCGTCTTAACACCTCCCAGCATGTACAAGAATAAGGGGCGGGCCCTTCCCATCATGCAGATAGCGCATTAGCGCCGCGCGCGTTCGTCTTCAAATTACCCGAGACGTGCCCATTCTCCACGCGCCACGCGAGGCGAATCGTTGCCTGAACGCCCCCTTGCGAAAGAACATACCGCCAGGTATGCACGACCTGCACTGCCCTCCGCATACTCCCCGACTCCGCTGGACCTCCCAGGAGCCAGCGAAAGTGGCGCCAGCTGCGCATTTCGCAGCCTTCCAACGGGCAGCAAGGTCGCACATGTGTGCGCGTGGCCCCGGACTCCGCTGGACCTCCCAGGAGCCCACGAAAGTGGTGGCAATTGCGCAGATCGCAGCCACCCAATGAGCAGCGATGTCTCGTCTGGGTGCGCGTGGACCCCGACTCCGCTGGACCTCCCGGGGGCCCGCGAAAATGCTGGGAATTGCGCAATTCGCAGCCACCCAGCGAGCTCCGAGGTTTCGGCTGGACCCGTTTACTCGCCGACTCCGCCGTGCCTCCCAGGAGCCCACAAACTCGAGGACACTTGCGAAATCAGCAACCACCCGGCGAGCTGCGAGGTCTAATCTGGATCCGTGTACCCACCGACCCTGCCGTGCCTCCCAGGAACCCACGCAAGTGGCGCTATTTGCGCAGCTCGCAGCTCGTAAGGGAGCTGCGAGGTGTAGTCTGGACCTGTTACTCCCCGACCCAGCCGTGCCCACCAGCAGCCCACGAACGTGGCGCTAAATGCGCAATTCGCACCCCCCTAAAGGAGCTGCAAACTCTCGGCTGGATCCGTTTACTTCCGGACTCCGCCGTGCCTCCCAGGGTCCCATGAAAGTGGGACCAGTTGCGCAGCTCGCAGCCCCCCCCAGGGGGCTGCGAGGTCTAGTCTGGACCCGTTTACTCTTCGACTCCGCCGAGCCTCCCAGCAGCCCACATACGTGGCTCCAGTTGGGCAGTTCGCAGCCCCCTGCGAGATCTAGGTTGGATCCGTTTACTCCCCGACTCCGCCGTGCCTCCCAGCAGCCCACGAAAGCGGGGACACTTGCGCACTTCGAAGCCCTCCAGGAAGCTGCGAGATCCAGGTTGGATCCGTTTACTCCCCGACTTCGCCGTGCCACCCAGGAGCCCACGAACGCGAGGACACTTGCGCACTTCGAAGCCCTCCAGAAAGCTGAGAGATCCAGGTTGGATCCGTTTACTCCCCGACTCAGCCGTGCCTCCCAGGAGCCCATGAAGGCGGGTATACTTGCGCAATTTGAAAGCCCCCCTGGGAGCTGCGACGTCTAGTCTGGATCCGTTTGCTCCCCGACTCAGCCGTGCCCCCCAGGAGCCCACGAACGTGGCGCCAATTGCGCAATTCGCAGCCCCCCAAGGAGCTGCGAGGTCTAGTCTGAACCAATTTACTCCCCGACTCCGCATTGCCTCCCGGGAGCCCACAACTGTGGCTCCATTTGCGCAGCTCGCAGCCCCCCAGGGAGCTGCGAGATCTAGGTTGGAGCCCCCCAGTTCGGAGCCCCCCAGGGACCTGCGAGATCCATGTACTCCCCGTCTCCGCCGACTTCACCGTGCCTCCCAGGAGCACGCGAAAGCGGGACAGTTGCGCAGTTCACAGCCTCCAAGGAGCTCCGAGGTCTACTCTGGATCGGGCTACTCACACACTCCGCCGTGCCTCCCAGCAGCCCACCAAAGCGGGGACACTTGCGCAGTTGGCAGCACCCCAAGGAGCTGCGAGGTCTAGTCTAGATCCGTTTACTCCCCGACTCCGCCGTGCCTCCCAGGAGCCCTCGAACGCGGCGACAGTTGCGCAGTTCGCAGCCAACTAAGGAGTGGCGCAGGAGGATGCAGAAGGAGGAGGAGGATGAGGTGGACGAGGAGGCAGGAGGAGGGGGTAGGAGGAGGAGCAGGAGTGGGTACCGCAGTGCTCGATTCAAAACGAGCGCCCAACACAGGAGGGTTGGGACAAATCTAACAACGGCGAAGATGAAGGGCGGCCTGCTGGGCACGCCGCACTGTCGCTTCTGGCTTCCTCGCATGCTTTGGCCCGAAGTGTAAAACTGTGCAGCAGCTAATCCAACTGAGGGCACCATCATTTGGACATGTGGCTATCACTTAAAACGTCCTCCAAATGTGCGATCCGATGCTTCTGGGCAGCAGCTGCACGGATCGAGGGCGGTTCCATGTCAAAGCGAGGCCCTATCGCTTGAGACTTCCTCGCGATTTACGACACAACGTGCAACAATTCCCAGCAACTCGAAAACCTGGATAACTCCTTCAGATCCTATCGCGCTCGTCAGGGTAACAACTTTTCAGAGCGGGGCTCTCGCGTGAATGGCCGGCCCGCGGGGTGCTCGCCTTCCAGGAGGTGCTTCCAGCTGTGAAGAAAGAACACACGTAGTGACTCAAGGAAGACGGGGGGCTTAAGAAAGAAGGGGGCTTGAAACATGATTGATGTATCCTGGGTTTGCTCTGGTGCTCCTCCCTTCCCCCTCCTCTCCCTCCTCCCCCCCATCCCTTACCCGTCCTCCTTCCCTTGGCTTCCTCCTGCTCCTCTCCTCCTCCTCCTCCTCCTCCTCCTCCTCCTCCTCCTCCTCCTCCTCCTCCTCCTACTCATGGCTCCCCTCCTCCTCGCTCCTCCCGGCTCCCGCTTCTTCCTCCTCCCTCTCGCCCTCCCTCCTCTCAACTCCCTTCCTCTCTGCTCCTCCCTCTCCCCCCCTCACGCGCCAACCGCCCACCGCGCCGCCGGAGAGGAGCCACCGCCCCGAAGGCCCTGCGGCGCCCGACTGCCTCAGTCGCGCCAGCGGGACGAGGGCATGGCAACCTGCCCGTTGAAGACCTGATGCTCCGCCTCTGCGCGATGGCGACATCCGACTCCCACCCGCACCAACAAATCCGTGCAATAAGCACACGCGCCATACCCGATGATACGGACGATCCGATCATTTCTCCCAACCCCATCCTCCCGACGCGCCGCTTGTCCTCGACGACGCGCCGCTTGTCTTCGACGACGCGCCCAAAAGGACGACGCCGACATCACGGCAAACCCACGGCAAGCCCTGCGCCCCGCGCCGAAAGAAAACGACGCCGACACCGCGGCTAACCCGACTCTCCTCCATCGATGGGAGGCGGGGGTAGGGCTCGGATTTCGCCACCTGCTCGACCAATTCCGGACACTACCCATGCCGCCCATCGAGTTGCTTGGCCTGCATCGTTTATCGGTGAAGCCAAGATTCGGATGTCGCCGCCGGCTTGTCGGGTCGGAAGACAGGAGGGGCTAGTAAAAGGCAATCGGAAGCGAATCCGTTCACATGGCTGTTCTTCCCGGCGCCTCCCAACGCAGGGACGCGCCAATATATCGAGAAAGAGCCCCAGGCCGCGGGGCCGAAACCAGCCGCATGCATCAGTTTCAATACGTCTCCCCCTTGCCATGTCCCATGCCCCCCCTGTCGTCCGACCGAGGAGGAGGCGGAGAAGGAGGAGGAGGAGGAGGGGATGATGATGATGATGATGATGATGATGATGATGATGATGATGAGGAGGAGGAGGAGGAGGAGGAGGAGGAGGAGGAGGAGGAGGAGGAGGAGGAGGACAGCGGGCCCTGAGCCGCGACATCCTCGCGTCGTAAAGTGAATTCAACACAGAGAAGGCTCTCGGCCATTCTCGGCCTCCCGGGGCCCTCGATCGTTTGCTCCCATGTGGCCCTCTGGTGCCCCGCGGGGTGGCGGGGGTTGGCGCGGCGCGCGCGGCCTTGCCCTTCAGGTCCTGGAGCTCCGAAGCCGAGAACCGCTTGCTCTCGTCCTGCTCGCCGCCGCTCGGACGGCGATTCTCGCGTGCGCTTCCTGACAAAAGACGCACACGATAAGCAACCTCGCTCCCCCTCCCCCCGAGGGATGGGGGGGAGTAGGTAGAGGAGGAGGAGGAGGATGACGACGATGACGACGAGGAGTGGAGGAGAGATGAGGAAGGGACGAACCTATCGGCAGCATCGAGCATTGAGGAGAAAGAGGAGCAGCAGGATCGATGTTCGAAGCGTCGGCCATCTTAAGGCATACAGGAGGCTCTGCCTCCTCCTCCTCCTCCTCCTCCTCCCCATATCCTCACCCTCCTGTGAGAGATCTGGGGGCACGTTTGTCGACGGTCTCTGAGCCTCCGGAGGTGCCCCAAGGCTTCTTCGGGTCGCCATGGCCTTCGGGAAACAAGACATTTGTGTGGGGCACCTGCTGGCAGGGTGGTTTCTTACTTGATGCGCCCACTGTAGCCAAAGACCACTGATAGAATGATTTGTTCAATGCCCGCCTTTTTCCTTAATTTCCGCATCTGGGACCTGTTACACCATCAACAAATGGTCGGGCGCGACCTTGCGGGACCCACGAACCCGGCAATGAAGTTACGCCACAAAATCCAAGAGGTGAAGCTCCGATCACATTCGAGGAACAAAAATCCTGGGTCCGAGCTAGTACTGGACAATGGCGGCAAACCCGTGCGAACACGAAACTATATGGCAAAACCGTGTTCCGTGTGGCGTGCGCCGACTGCCATAGGCCGTCGGGGTTCTTTTGACCCGGGTCAATCCAGACCCTCGTCAATCAGGCCTTGCAAAATCATGCAAGGCCCTGCAAATCCTGCACCCAAACCCGGGTCAGCGCGAAGGATCCTGCAAGATCCTGCGAGACCCTGCACCCAAACCCGGGTCAATGCGTCCCTGGCCCTGCAGGATCCTGCAACATCCGGCGCTCTGGCTGACCCTCGTCTGCCTTGACCCCCGTCTCTTGAGCCCCGAACTACATGGCAATGTGCCGTGTGCCGTGCGCCGATTGCCATGGGCCGTGCCGTGCGCCGCGCCCCGCGCCGCACGCCGTGCCTCGCCACGCGCCGTGCCGCGCGTCGCACGCGCTGCCTCCCACACCCTTGACTGCCGGCGACAGGGCCACGGAGAGGACACGTGTGACCTCCTCCTCCTCCTCCTCCTCCTCCTCCTCCTCCTCCTCCTCCCCGTCTTCCTCCCCCTCCTCCCAGTCTTCCTCCGCCCCATCCTCCTCCTCCTCCTCCGCCGCCGCCGCCTCCATTTCCTCCTCCTCCCACCTTTCATAGGGGCCTCCGATTATGGGATTCGGAAGTGAAGGGCGTTTGCGTCGTCGGAACGGGCGTTTGAGGATACACGTGTGACCACTTTTTTTCCAGGGCCTCTGAATCTGGGTTTCGGAGGCGGGGGTGCGTTAGCGTCTTGGAAAGGGGCGTTTGCGTCGTGGTCGTCAGTCGGTAACTCTTGGACCATCCCCATGTTGTGAGGGAGCCTCAGGCGAGACGCCCCCCGCACACCATGTTCGATATCCGACGCACGAACTCCAACATGTCATTGTCCTGAAGATGTCTCAAGCGATAACATCGGATTCAATAACCAGCGTCGTTCCAAGAAATTCCTCCAACGTCCCCATGTTGTATCGATGTCGCAGGCGAGAATCCCGCACACACTAGCATGTTCGATATCCGACGCCCGATCTCCAACATCTAACTTGTCTGAGGCTGTCTCAAGCGAAAGCATCGATCTTGAGAACCAGCGTCGCTCCAACAGCTCTTGTGTGGAGTCCTCAGGCGAGACGCCCCCCGACACCATGTTGGATATCCGACGCACGATCTCCCATATAGAACTGTTCTGAGCATGTCTCAAGCAAACGCCAAAATTTTGGAAATCAGCGCCGCTCGAACACATCCTCTAACGTCCCAAGGTTGTGAGCATGTCTCAGGCGAAACGACGCCCTCCCGCACCATGCTGGATATCCGACGCACGATCACCATCATATATTTCTGCTGAGGCTGACTCAGGCGACAACTTCACTATTGAGAACCAGCGTCGCACACACACACACACAAACACACATCCTCCAACATCCCCGTTTGTGCAAGGATGTCTAAAGCGAAACTCCTCCTCACCCTGCTCGTCACCTCCCCAACCCCCCATATAAGATGTAATGAATAATCGTGTAGCGGCCTTGTTTACGGATTGGTGTTCCACCAAAAGGGGGGGACTATGTGCCCTCAGCACCCGCCGCGCAAAAATTGTTGCGCGGACGCCGCCGACAGTCACGACTTCAATTGCGACTACGACTACGACGGCTACTAGTCATTATGCTTCAGGGGCGCTCTCATGGAAATTCTTGGCTCAGAGCCTTGATCCTCAAAAACCTTATCCTGGAACCTGCATCCTGAGAAGGACGATTGAAGCTCAGGCCCCGCGCGGGCCCTCAGAAACTCCATCCTCAGAACCTCCATCCTCAGAGCAACGACCTCGGAGAATAATACGTCGATCTATCTTGCCATCCTCTTACAAACGTGCTCAACATCCCTATGTTTTGAAGGGTTGCCCACAGAGTATTCTCCCTGGGAGAAATAAGCCCTTAACATTATCCCTCCCGCTCAACAGTAGCGGGAACATCATCCCGCCGCGACGAGGAGGCTTTAGGACCAGTCCTATAACCGCTGAGTGAAACGGGGGAGTTGTCTAAACCTAAAAGCCTTTTGCGGTGAAGCCCTTACCGGGAACAGTTGTCCCTGAGGAAGGGGGCGGGAATTCTGGGGCCGCGCATTCGGATGTCTTGGATGTTACGTCCGCCAAGGCTGCTGGATGGAATCGAATTCGTCGAATAAAGAAACATGGCCATACATGTTCGGAGGTCCGCGCGGATTTCTGGGATCGGCGCTGGCCCCCCCTAGCGGCGCCTCTGGCGCCGCCCCTGGCGCGCTCCACGCGCCAGGAAGGGGTCCCCAGCGCCGATCCAAGAAAGCCGCGCGAGCCTCCGATAGTTTTCCAGGTTACACTTCATTGCGTCCAGATCGAGCGAGCGGGCCCGTAGGGCAGCGCAGACGCAAAAGTTCGAGATCCAAACGACCGAGCGACGCCGGGAGTCCTGAGTCAGGGTGTTGGTGCCGAGGATGCTCCCCACGTAGGTTCGAGCCCGGGGCATGTACAGAGTCTCCTAGAGGAGCCCAACCAGGCACGCAGTAGTCACACACAATAAAAGCAAACAACGTCCTGCAACGAGAAACTGCATTGGCCCATCTGCTCTCGATCTGCGGACTTCCAAATGTGCCCCATTTCTTCTTTGGGTCCCCAGGGCCACTGGGGGACACGAAACTTGCGTGGGACACCTGCTGGCAAGTTGTTTTTGGAGGGCCTACTGTAGATCCCGCCATGCCTCTGGGAGTAGGCGGTTGAGAGAGGTCGTCTCTCCGACACTCCTTCTTCCCCGTGTGGGGGGGTATCTGTGCTCCCCTTTAATAAACACCCCCTCCCCCGCTCGGCCAGCCGTCAACTAGGAACCATGAGCCCCCGCCCAACCCCCCAATCAAACAGCGATTCAAAGCACACGTGGCGATAAAATCTGGATCACAAGCATGTGTCCATCGATCACCTTACCTGGCTTTTGGCAACGACGGCGGAGGCGGCCATGTGTGTTCGCTGTTCGCTCGCCTACTGCCCGCATCGAGAACCGATGCAAACGAACTGTGGGCACACCGCCCATACACCGTGCTGCTCACCCCGGCGCCACTTCACAATTGATGCAATATTGGCAAGTACGGTGAGGGCTTTGGCTCAAGAGCCGTTCAATAAGGAATCGAGGGCCGGGGCGCATGTGGAACTCCAATCGCTGATAGGCCATGGATCTCACCGCCGCCTTCATCAGATAAGGAACCCTTCAGGGTCCGAAGGGTCCATGGCACGTTTCTGCACCAACTCCCCCACGCAGGTATGGTGGGGGTGCCGACATGTTGGCCTATGTGTTCTGACACGTGCGCTAGCTCACCTGTCGCCGCCTGGCGCACTCTGCGCGCGTCGCACACGTGGCGCACCTGGCGGGGCTGGAGAATGTGGCACAGCTGACACACGTGGCGTATCTGGTGAACCAGGCGCGCCTGTCACGCTTGGGCCCCTGGGTCACCTGGTGCACATGGTGCGCAGGGCACCTTGCGCGCGAGGCGCACCTCGCGAGCGCCGCGCGCGGCTGCCGATCCAACGGACGTGCGGACTCATATGGCGGGAAGGCGAGGTGGCGTAAGCGGGACAGCATGTGTCGTACCCGCTGGGGACTTGACCCCTCCCCCTGCCCCGTACTTTGGGACTGGAAGGGGGGGGGCGGGCGACCCATACCAGCGTCCACCATGGCCCAACATGGCTCCCAAAGGGCCTCAGGTAACCCAATCTGGCCTCCAAGATGGCACAATACAGCCCAAGGTGGCGCACCGCATGCCTGCAATATGCCCCACAAATGCTCCAGGTGGCCTCGGAACCTCCCCAAAGCGGCCCCCCGAGAGACCAACACCATACCACAAACATAACGAACCCTCAATGACTGTTGCCGTCCCGCTCCTTCAGATCCAATGAGCTCCTGACGCCTCAGCATGGCTCTAACATCACCCAAGATAGCCCCAAGATGGGCCCAGGAGGGCCCCAAGACGTCCCCCAAAGCGTCCCAAGAGGTCCCCAAGAAACGGTGTGTCGGACTCCCATGGGGAGGGCGTAATTGAGTCCGCCCCCCTCGTTTGCTCGATGTTCTTCAAGACGAGGGCCCGACAGTCAATCAATGAGGCCACAAGAGAGCCCCAAGAGGGCCCAAATCGGCTCCGACGTGGCCCCAGATGGTCCACAACAAAAGCTCCCGAGAGGCTCCCGCATCGAAAGGACAGTAAGTGCATGTGCGGTTGATTCCTCAATCTGATACGGTGGATCCCTCGCATGGGTTCGACGGCGGCCCCTCTTTCTGAATCACTGCTTGCTCCTACGCTCCCCGACGAAAACAACGGGCCTGTGCGTCGTTCCTGCATGGGCTGGCAGGGACACGCGAAACGTCACGAGTAAACGTCACCTTCTCGGAGGTCCGCGCGGATGTCTCGGGTCGTCGCTTTGGCCCCGACCCGAGAAATCCTCGCGTTGGAAGCGGCTGGGTCTGCGCGGGATGCCCCCCGAGAAAAAACTGCCAAGAATGGGGGACACCGGCAAACCTGCTACAAATCAGTCCCCAGAGCCTTCCCCAGATCTTCGCTAAGCTGACACGCTGTTCCCGGCGGCGTCCAGCCGTGGCGACGAGGAGGCCCCTTCCTCCATCCACTTCTGCTGGCCGCAAGCCCTTGTTGGGCCAACCCCGCCCCTCCAGTCGGCTCCACTCCTGGAGGACCTCCGAGAGACCGTGCTCATGACGTAAACATGCCGATGCTGCCGCTCAGCGGACCTTTCTCGGGGTGCGTTCTGACCAAGATTCCGCAGCGAATCCAGCCGTAGCGACGAGGGCCTCAAAGGAAGCAGCCTAAGGGGAAAACGAAGCAGGCAGCGGTACGGCAGGTTCGTGCGGCGTCGGCGCGCGCAAAAATGATTGACACCGCGTCTTTCGTTCAACCTTGGATCGATCGCAACCCAGATTCAAGGTTGAATTAAGTCTGGCCCAGAAAATCTACTGTGTCCATCGGTGCTTCCGCGTCGCAGAAATCGACCTTGAACGCCTTCGCCGGCGTCATCAGCGCGACAAGGCCGCATGAGCCTACCGAATCGGTACCTCTTCCTTCCCTGGGTTCTGTTATCCTTCGGACGCACCGTGTCTCCGCCGCAGACTTGTGCGCCTCGGCCCAGGCGGCTTCGGCGTCCTTGCTGAAAGTGGCCTCGCCGCCGTGCGCCTCTTCGCCTCACTCGAGCATGGGATCTTCTACATCATCGATGTGCCCCAAAATCTATGTCCTCGTCGGCTCTACATATGGACCGTGCGTGGCATTTTCACATGTTCGCCCACATGGTACGCGCTTGTGTCGTAGATTCGACTCGACAATCCATTCTGGGGCAACTGAATTCTGTAGTCAACCCTTGGAGGCCTGGAAATGGGCACCAACACCGACACAGGGGGCTGCCTCCACAGGGGGGAGATGATCCTAGTTTTCGGTGTTGGTGGTAATATGTCGGTCGCCTTGGAAGCCAGAACATTACCACCATCAACGAGATCGGGATCCTCTTCCGGCGCTGGAGACACAACGCCGAAATCGGTGTTGGTGTCCACCTCCGGGCCTGCGATTCTGCAGCCAACCCGCTGTTCGTACGGGAAGCGGCGAGCATGCCCACACGAGGGCCCCCCCGAGGCCCGCACGCCGAGGCGCGGGCTTCGCGTGGGTGAGCGGGGGGCCAGCCGTCCCAACAGTCCTATGGGCCCACCGGGACATGCTCTCAGAACACGAGACAGCTGGGGGATCGAACTCTCTGCGCCGACGCTGCTTCCGGCCCTGCATTGGAATTTGCACTGGAGGGCGGATCCTGGTGTATACGGAACCCTGGTGTGTACATGTGTCGTTGCTTCCCCAGGACATCGGGAAAAAAACAGGCATACACCACACCACCCCAGCGTCGTCCTCGACCCTCAAGAAATCCTGGGATCGAAAAACAGCCCGCCACTGGTAATGCAGATGTTCCAGTTCCCGAGGGAAGACCAAAGTTACGCTGTTCCCATCGTGTTGGAACCACAGGAATAGGCCCAGATCCGAAACAAAAATCCGAACATCCAGAAACCTATCGAAGCACTGCCTGCCCGACGCGCTGGCAAATGGCCGGACAGAAATCGTCCCTCGGGGCCCGACACGTGACAACCCTCCAATTTCGATGCTTCCCTGGTGCTCGAAATTCTCTGTGATGGTCAAAGCTAAAATGTGATTTTCGGTCGGCCTATAGGCTAGGCAGGACGCATCGTCACTGCTTGACGTGTGCGCGCGATCCCGTGGGCGCCCTCCGCGCGGGGCAACCGCGCAGAAACCGCCCTGTGTCCATCGGGGAACCGGCCGACGAACCAAACACGCGATGGCGTGGATACGTTAGCCAGCCGCGATCTTCTCCCCACCCCCAAGATTGACACGCCCATCCCTATCCGTATCCCCATCCCTGAAATTGACAAGCCTGTCCTTCTCCCAATCACACGGGGAAAGGATAGGGATATGCTTCAGGCTGGTAATCCCTCCAACCCTCTCCCAAACTCCCTGCTTCCCCTTCGGGGAGGGGTGTACCACCGCCTGTTATTAATGCAGCTATTAATTTACAACCCCTGCACTAGACGACCAGAAGCCAACCCGGACACACGTGGGCACCCATGACACACACACACACACCATGCTTCAAAATCAGGAGCATGCGCGGGGGCACCGCAACACTTTGCATTGGTTTTTGGTGGAGACGGCGGGGGTGCCGAAATATTGTTTGCTGCGCGCAGGCCACGACCCCCCCGCACCAGTTATTGAAGCAAAAATACTGCCTCGAGCGATCTCTACAAGAACCTTCGTTCTCTGTTCCCAGAGGCACGTGCGCCTACTGGAACGATATATTCTATTATGTTCGATTTTTTTCTGAACGAGTATACTAAGCTTCGTTCGGTATTCTCAAACATGTCATGTTGTTATGGCCTGCGATATCCAGCTATATTATGTTACTGTCTACAACTCTCGCACAATTTTATGTGTCAAACATGCACGTCCAAAAACACTTAACTTATGTAGCAACCCGCGATCTTTAATAAAGAGAATACGTGTTACTAGTAGCATGAGTC